ATTTTTAAGTGTTTTTATTTTCCTCACTTTCTGTATCTGATGTCTGTACATTGTGCCATAAATAAAAAATAAAAAATAAAAATAAAATAAATTTTCATCACTTGCTTGGAAATGAAAATATCGTGAGAAAACTTGGATTTCGGAGATAATTGCCGAAATCTTCAAAGATGCGAGAATGTCAAGTTTCCAACCAGTACTTACTATGCAAGTGCAGTGGACTAAACCTTGTGCAAAAAATAGTACTTTACTAACTTACATACGTCTATTGCTGAGCGCACGTTTCTAACAACAGGCTTACGCTTAATTTGACTTATCTACACACGACAACTTTCTGGGTATGGGTTTATTACATGGTGAAATTGAAATAATTAATATCCGTTGAACCTATTAAGGTTCTTACTTCCTAATAATATCTACTCATCTAAAGAAATATTTTAGAATAGTTTAAATTAGCAATAGTGTAAAACCATAAAAAATCTTACCTAAATAAACAAAGTATCAAGATTAGTCGCCTTGCGTACGCGATACGTAATCGTAGCGAAGTCGCAAGCCTTTGGCGGCAACTTTGGCGGCAAAAATATCACCTTTGATTTTCGCCGCCAGCATTTGATTTTATACATGGTGATGTGGATTAGTGGTTAATGTTAGACTCGTTTCGGAGGTCGTGGATTCGATTCTCATAGTTGACTGGCTCTATGGGGTAGTTGTTAGAGTGTTAGGTTTTCTTTGCGGATGTCGTAGATTTGATTCCCATAGTCGACTGCCTCCATAGTCTAGTGGTTAGAGCGTTAGGCTTTCTTTTCGGAAGTCGTGAATTTGATTCCCATAGTCGACTGCCTCTATGGTGTAGTGGTTAGAGTGTTAGGCTTTCGTTTCGGCGGTTGTGGATTTGATTCCCATAGTCGACTGCCTCCATGGTGTAGTGGTTAGTGTTAGGCTTTGTTTTCGGAGGTCGTGGATTTGATTCCTATAGTCGACTGCCTCCATGGTGTAGTGGTTAG